GGGGGAGGGGCAGGAGGTGTGGCTGGCAGGGGCAGCAGGTAAGTGGGGGCAGGGAGGCGGTGGGGGGGTATTGGGGTAACAGGGACAGTGGCGTGGGACTAGGACAGGGCCCTGGGGCGAAGGGTCTGTCTGAGAGCCGTGGCACAGGGGTCGCTGAGTGGGGGGTGGCTCAGGCTCCGTGGCCAGGGTGGGGGGTGTGGAAAGCCGGGGCTTGATGCGCGAGTGGGCTCCCAGCGTGGCCAGTGCCTCCTGCTTCCACCCCAAGCTACGCCTGCATCTCCCCCCACCCCTCCCTGCCCTCTGCCTTTGCAGGCTCTTCTCCCTGTGCTGTGTGGTCCGGGGTGGGTTTGTGTAATTCCCGCAGGCCAAGCCCCAGTCCCGGTCGGGGCCTGTAGGTGCTACTGTAATACAAAGAATGAGCAAGTGGGCATGAGGCAGCGGGAATATGGGCATGGTGGAAGCAGGAAGCAGGCAGGACTGTGAGGAGGGGAACAGGCACAACTTAAACACGGCAGGGTTTAGCCAGGATTTCCTCCAAGAAGAGGGGCCGGGGTATGAACCTGGCCTACATGCCCCAGCGGTGGGGCCGAGTCCAGCAGCTGGTCCTAGCTTGGCCCTCCCCCTGCTTGTTCTCAGAGGGGTTTGTCTACAGGAGTCTGCTGAGAAATTGCCTGGGCCAGTGCGGGAGCCGTTTTGCCTGAACCCCCTGCGGGCTTAGCTTGTGTCTTGCACCCTGCTCCTCTTTGCCATGTAGATTCATTCACTTCCAGAGTGACCTGAACTAGCCCCTCTGGGCGCAAAATTAACAGACCCGCGTGAAGAGCTGGTGTGGATCGGCAGGTCCACGCGGACGGGTCCTCAGGGGTGGTAGCATGTGAAGAAAGAGGCTTTGTTCTGTAAGTCTTATATTGAGGGACTGTGATTTGCCCTGTTTCCAGGTGAAGTGGAAGGAACTGCTCCCCAAGTGCTTGCTCGCACCCCCCACCCCTGCTAGGCTGCTGCTATCTTGAAGGCTTGTAGATGTACAGAGATAAGGAAGAGTCAGCTCTTCCCTTCCTGGTGGGAGATGACCCCTTCACAGGCTCCGTCTCCCTTTCTTTTAAATAATTAGCTGTTTGCAAATGTCAGGGACAAGGTCCAAACCAGGCCAGGCAGCCGGATCAGGGACCTTCTGCGATCCTTCTTTTAGTTGTAAACAGGCGGAAAGCCGAGACAGTCAGTAAGCAGAACATCTGTAAGTCTTTTGGGGTTTTTCCTCTGGGAATGTAGCGCACACCTGTTCTGGCAGTGCCGTGCATGCATCTGGCATCAGGCTGTACACGTGCATCTTCTTACTTTTGCACATTTTTTTCCTTTGTAGCCACCTTTGGTCCATCGTAGCGAGCAAGTCACATGCTGCAAGCAACCCCGAGCTTATCCTCTCCATTTCCCTGTTAGTGGAGAACAGAGTTTCCTGTGCCTGTCAGTCATGTCAGAAAAGTTTAGTGGGCATCAAGCTGCTCACGAGTGGCTTGGGGACCTCTGCTCTCTGGTTCCTGAATATCAGATAATCACATGGCACTAAGCTACTTGGATTGTAGTTGTGATCTCCTGTGACTGGCAGCAGTGCTCGCTAATAAGCCGACTTGCTTATGCAGTTATTAAAAGCTCCTTTAAATGTTTTTACAATGAGCTTTCTGCCTCGCATCGCATGTTAATTTTGGCATCAGTGACTAACGTCTCTTTCTTTTGGCCTGCCTGTTAATAAGGATTTTTAAAAAGTGTGCAAAGTTAGTGAACTAAGACTATGAAAATGAAAAGTTCTGCCTCATTTCTTTCTGAATATTAATATCCTAGTATGTTTAGTCCGTTTAGTCGTTGCGTTCCAAGCAGGTGCAATGCAGTGTAAAGAAGATGTTAGGATTGCGTGTTATTTTTCTTAACTTTTCTCCTTGTCCTTGGAGGTGAGACAGGCGTCATTGTACGTCTAGAGATTTTATGCTGTTGTGGACATCACCTGCTTTTTCTTTGAAGAAGAACGCCGCTACAAAGCCCTGCCTGGGGAAATGTATTATGATGCTAGAAGTTTATTCATCTGTAGCATCACCCTTGGCATAGGCCGTTAAACTATCTTCACAATAAACTGAGACAAGGCTGCATGCTCTGTCGTGATATTTGACTCTTAAACACCAGTGACATTAAGGAAATATTTTTCAAGCATCAGTTGACAGCCTGAACTAGAGACAGTCCAGCGTACAGTCGGATTTATCTTTTAAATTTAGGAGTAGACGGGTAGGAGGAGCGAAGTCTAGTGCAGCCATGAAAGGCAGCCCTTTTGTAGGTGAAGCAAGGGGCCTTTTGTTGTGTTTTGGTTCTTTAATACCTGATTATTGGAGCTAATATTGGACTTTTTCACCTCTTAAAGGTCCAGTTTAGGAACAGGTCCCATAGGAAAGATTACTAGGCCCTGGAGCTTGGTTCTCTTCACATCAAGTAGATTAAAAGGCAAACAGTTCAGCTTCAGTGCTTTTTTGGTTTCCTACTGAACTATCTTTGGTAGTATAGTTAATATTGGACAGCCAGGTGCGGGGGAGTAACTACTGAACATTTGCTGATGCAGGTCTTAACAGAGGCCTTAGTAACTTCAAGTGGTAGTCAGGGAACATTACATTTTTCAGCTGAAAATTTCAATGAAAAGTTTGATACTTGTTTGAAATTCTCACCTGAAAATACCGACTTTGCTGAAATGTGTTTTCTGGCAAAGCTCAAACCTCCCCACTTTAACTTGCATTTCAAAACAAGAAAATCAAGGCCGACCTCATCTGCTGACACTTCTGTTTTGTCCACTTTTCAGTTGGAATGGACACTTTTCAGCCAGGCAGTCATTTAGTAGGGGTGGGAGTGAGAGGAAGGGGCCCCTGCAGCAGCGTAAGGTCCCCAGGGGTTTGTTTCAGAATTTATGGAATTAAAGGACTGTGGTCACTCTTCTTTCAGTTCTGCTCGTATACCTGAATCCTGGCTTTTTGCTCTAGTTCAGCAGAAACTACTGGTTATGTGTGGGGAGGAGTTCGGACAGGATTGACACACACGGCTCATTCATACCAATGCCTTGTTTCGGGCAACTTTGCCAGTATAAAGAGGTAGGCATGAATTACTGCACGAATTACTTGCATAGTATTTGTGATGATTAAATAGCATTTGTGGCAGTAATAGCTTCTTGTCCTCTCTTGTATTCGTGCCATTTGAAAGCCATTGAATTTCATTTATTTTTATTTTCTAGACTAGTAAAAATGCACATCCCTAACTCTGATTTTGAAACCCCAGCTACAGAGAGGTAAAGCAGAAGGCTTTCAGCTAATTTCTTGTGCATCAGCAATGTATTGCAGTGCTAGCATCTGCTTGAGTCGCTGTAGTTATCGGTTTGCAGCCCAAGCCTTGTTTCAAGGGGAGCGGACTAGTGTGTGTGTGGGGTTTTTTTAAACTGTCGTTTACTCTTCAAGAGGTCTTTAAATATTTTATGATTTTGCAGAGCTGTTCTGCAAGCCCTGAGCAAACAGGGCTCCTGGGCTTCAGGCAGAGGGAGATGTTGGAGTGGAAACCTGCCAGGCAAGGAGGGTGGGGCAGAGACTTGTGACCTTTTACTCCTATATAAAGTATAGAAGTGACCTTTTTATTTTAAACTG